TTTCCAAATGAAAACACATTTTTCTCTTTAAGTGAGATTCCTCTCAGCTTCCAGTTTATCCAACATTACAAAAACTATTTCAACAAAATTTAAGTGTTCTGATACAAAAAGCTTGAGTCTCATTACATTAACAGTTTCACCATTGGTTCATAGTCTGGAGACACACCCTAGTGAGTCCTCACAAGGGACACTGCAGCCAGCTCTGAGGCCCCCAACATAAAAAGACATGGACCTGCTGGAGCAAACCCAGAGGAGACCACAAAGATGCTCAGAGGGCCGGAGCACCTCTGCTATGGAGCCAGGCTGAGAGAGCTGGGGTTCTTCAGCCTGGAGAAGAGAAGGCTCTGGGGAGATGTCAGAACACCTTCCAGTGCCTCAGGGGGCTACAAGAGCTGGAGAGGGACTTTTTACAAGGGTGTGGAGTGATAGGACAAGGGGTTGACTGCTTTCAGCTGGAGGTCGGTTTGGATTGGATGTTAGGAAGAAATTCTTTACTGTGAGGGTGGTGAGAGCCTGGCACAGGTTACCCAGAGAAGGTGTGAATGTCCCATCCCCAGAAGCATATGCACAGCCAGGCTGTAAAGGGCTTTAAACATTCTCATCCAGTGGGAGCTGGAACTGCATGATCTTTAAAGTCCCAACCCAAACCATTCTGCTATTCCAAGGACATGAATGATCTCCCAGTCCTGGGCAGGGTTTATGTCAGTGTGGTGCTACTCACACTCTGATAGCATCCTGACAATCACCTGAGTTACCATAACCATTCATTTGAAGTACCCAAACTGGCTGGAGATAAAATGAGAGGAAACTGAAAAGTTACATTGCACTGAAGGAGTTCAGTGCAAATACAATGCAAGTCATGTTCCAGTTCACTACTCAGAAAAACAGAAAATGGCTGCTTAAGAAAGTATGACTCAATTACCATAATTTTTAACTTGGCAGGTTTGATTTTAGACAGATATATGGTGCCAATGAAAAATTACTTTTGCATCTTCAGAGCACTGAGACATCTGCTGTTCACAAAGTTGCTCATTAAAGAGCTGCCAGAACTTCTTTCAACCCTCAACCCATCTTTTCTCCTTATCAGTAAAAGGCGATTCCCACTGCCAAAAAATCACAAAAACAACACAAAACAAAACAAAAAAAAAAAAAAAGAGAGAGAAGGGAAATAAGAGGAGAGCAACTGGCATTTTGCTGAATTTTGAAGTATAGGACTTCAGACTTTTCATATCACCTGAGAGTGATGAAACCATGATGGCATTGGCTCATTTGACATTTTCTCTCCCTGCTAAATAAACTGAACTGCTCAGAAAGCTCAGATTTGTTCTGATTTAAGCTTCAGCATTCCCAAAATGGAATTCTTCTGTCCAAACAGGCCCAGATAATGTTCATTATTTTAGACTGACATTCAAACATATTCTATGAACACACAGATTTAGATACACACCACCACCCCCATCTTAAAGGGGATTTGGTTAAGAAAGACATTAGTACCCAAAAAGTTGTTTCCTCTCTTAGCTCAGTTAATGAACTTAGTGTCACACACTGACAGTGATATAATGGTGTCAATAAATACACCACTACTTTGGAGGAGGTTACAAGGTTGGTTTGTTGGTTTTGTTTTTTTAATTCATTGTGTGCCATTACTAAAACTCTGCAACCTCAGAATTCTCAACAACATACAACCTTTTTACAATATTATAAAAAAAAAAATCCCAAAAATTGTTATCTGCAGCTACAGATTGAGGAAGAATGAAGATACAAGTACTTTTCAAGCTGCTCTTTGAAAGATTTTACTGCAAGATTCATACCATTACATCTGAAAGATATGAAGCAGTTATTTTCTTCATAATTCATTCTTTTGAAGAACAATATAAAAATCTTGGAAATTAGCTATCAAAAAATCTTCAGTTTTCCTCAATTTTACAGTACTATCCAGGGAAAACTCCATCAACTGCAGGCAGATAATAAACAAGAGATGAAACACAGGGTCAAGCACATTTTTTCATTAAACTTTCACCACCATTTCCTACTGAAGACTACAGGCTGCAGAGACTGTTTCTAATTAACAAAGCACAGGACTGGCACTCTTCAGTATTTTTATGAATAACATCAGCAGCTACAAAAGCTCTGAAGAGAAATGAGACATAGTAGAGGATGAGCAAGTCACCACAAGTCTCTATATGATTCTTTGTCAGGAAAGAGCAAACATAATCCTTGGATGTATAGAAATGAATTAGGAAGCAAGAACGCAATTTTTCTCCCCAAGCAAGGTATTAACTGCACAGATGTAGGATTAAGCAAGAGTTCCAATAACTCACTTAAAAAGGACACCAAAAAATCAGGAGATGATGTAGAGAATTACAATTCTGTCTCAAGGTTATGTGAAAATTCAGCACTGAGGATAAGAAGCTCACTCTGTTTTGGAGGTGAAAGCTGATAGCTGGATGACATGACTACAACATCAAATAAAAAGAAAAAGGAAATAAGAAAATCACCTCTGGCAGAAATTTAAATGTCCTTGAGGCTTTTTAGTCAAGCAAAGCATATAAAAAGGAAATTTTCAGCTATAATTTAAATTTAAACCAAACACACTGAAATCTGAGATTAAGTACGGAGCTTTTAACCAGAGGGAGTTAACTACTAAAATTAATTGCCAAGGAAACAGTCAAGTCTGCCTTTTAATTTCTTCCCATGCAGACTGGATGCCTTTTCACAAGATGCCCACAAGACAAATGCAAACCAAAAGGCTCAGCACAAAGCTAAAGGAGAGTTATACTCCAGCTCTTACTCCTCAGGTCAGACAAGCCCTAAGCACTTTTTAACCCTTGCACTCCATGAATTTGTTCATCCAGCCAGGAGCAAATCTGAATGGCGCAGCTCTAAGTACTTCAGATAGGATTTATCTTCCCCCAACATGAAGTCATCTAAAAGTTTCCTGCCCACCCTAAACAAGCCAGGAGCTCCTCACAGCAGAAGCACTTCCAGAAGTGATCTCTTGCAGTCCAACTGTCTGTCCCTCCTTCGACCTAAGGTAAGGGGGGAGCCCCAAAGGCTACTCATTTAACATTTGGGTGGAAGACGGTGAGCAAAATGAATAGAAGCTTCATGCCAGGATGGAACATCATTAAAGACAGAAGCATGAGCATGGTTGCTTATTTCAATAAGAGCCCATGAAGACAAACACAAAAATTTAAATACCCCTTTGCGTATGTAAAAATAGCTAGTGAAGGAACATTTCCTCTTTTAAAACAATCCCATTAATTTATTTGCCACTTAAATAGTCTCTGAATACAAGCCAAAGAAATATTTTGGAAAATCTAAACAGCTGTGCATGATGCAGTTTTCCAGAGATTTACTCCAGAGACTTTAGAGAGAAAATCCTAGTAATTGGAAAAAGAGGATAAAGCCACTAAAGAGCAAGAAATTAGAGAGACTAAAATGGCACAGCAGGAAGAAAGGAGAGACAATACACATGCATCAGCAATTATTTGTGATTTAAAACTATGCAAGAAGCATGTTTTATATGATCCTTAGAGATCATTTCAAAGGACAGATACAGGGTATTACAATTTTGAAAAAAGAGCATGCTAGAGGTCTCTCTTTGATCAGAGGAAGTTAAATAAAGCAAGGTCTGAAAGATGGAAATGATGCTTATCCATTAAGCCCACTTCTGTCAACTGTCCCCCTGTTTTTGAGGGCACATTTCTGCACCCATGCAGAGAAGGCTCTCTAATTCCAGTCCCTGAGCTTTGGGATACAGCTACAATTAAGGAAAAAAAGGGGGGAAAAAAACCCCGAGACAATGTCACACCCACAAAAATCCACACATTTCTTAGAGCCCTTGAACATATACATTTGTAGCCTGAAAAGAATGACAAGATGATAAGCTGACACTGAGCACACAAACTTTCCTCTCATCTTTTGAGAGGCAGCAAAAAATTCAGACAATGCAGTAAACAACATTGAAATGCTGTCAAGCCAGAGATTAGAAAAATTGCCTGCTAGCTGGTGTTTACAAAGACCTGCTAAAATAGAAATTAAACCAGTATGAATTTACATTTAATTTGTACCTCCAGTATTAATGGCCTCCATAGTGCCCCCTGACATACAAACCTAAACAATAATTTGGAACAACAATTGCATTTTAAGTTTCTATTAGCAATTTGATCCATCCAGGCAAGTAGTAAGGACAAGACTAGAATTTCAAGCTTCCCTATAGACTCTTTTAAAATACAGGTCTAATTAATGGAAAATAAAACAAAATCATAACCTGGCAGTATAATTTCTACTAGGAATGTCCTGTCTTATCAAGATTTTTTTTTAGTAAAAAATATATGCTAATGTAACTGCAAAAGAATCATTCTTTTCAACACAATTTCCACTGAATCAGAGCCACTAGCACAGAGATTTGCTGCGGGGCAATAACCCTAAATATTTGTAAGCATTCAACTCTGTTTTATTTCACAGAAATCATCATAAACTTAATAGCCTGTGCTATCCTTAAAGACCTTACATATTTTATATATACACGTAGGCAGAAATAAATGGAACAGAACATAAAAGGCTGAGGCCTGAAAACCAGGCTACTCTATGTTTGTAGCAAATTTTGCACCCTAAAGCATCAGTTCAAATCTCTTTGAAGACCATCCATGATGAACTGAGAGATGCATCCAGAAACTTCTTCAGGCAAGGGGAGATACACAACCAAAACCTTTACCAATGAACTCGAGTCCTTTGGCCAACCCATCCAGCACCTTATAGAATACAGAAGCCTCGTTTATCAGATTAAGGCAGGAGAATGCAGTAGGGAAAGGAAACACCATCAAAATATTTAATTTCATATACTCAGTCCTGTAGAGCAGGCTACAAATGTTCACATTCATGCATTACCTGACACAGAAATATCACTAAATTGTCAGTTGACAAGCAGGAAAGTCAATCTCTGTTTCAATTCTATCACATATCTGACACTTGGTTAGCCCAGGGGATCACTCAGACTACAGCCAAAATAAAAGCATCATTTTGTGCTGAAATTACCAAGTCTTCTCTTCCACTGTTGTCTTTCTTTCCCTCAGAAAAGAAAATAAAATTTCTGACATTTTAGGATTCTGTGCTTAGAATTTTATGGGAGAGTTAACAAGGAAAAAAAAAAATTGACTTCTCTAAATACCATTCCCAACAGATAAGAGAGTCAGAGTTTGCCCCTTCCCACACAGCTCAGAAAAAGGAATTTCAGAAGCTCAGTTACCACCCCCAAGTTACAGTCCCACTGCTGAACTACCAAAGCTGTAGAACAGAAGAAACAGCATTATTTAAGACCTTACTTACCCCAGCAGGGCTGAGACTTCTCCGGTGCCTTTCAGGAGACACCAGCAGAAGCAGCACATTTCACACAGCCAAGACAGACACACAGCAAAGAGAAAGGCTGTGGTGACTAGGCCGCTCCCACAGCCAGCACCTCCAACCACACGGGAAACAATACAAAGTCAGGTAAATACATACTGATAAAAACATAAAGTTTCTTCCCGAGGTAAGCAGGACTCAAAGCCCTAAAGAGACTCCCCAGATACCCCGGGCGAGCTAAACCCCTCCGCCCTGGCACTCAGCCGCCTGCAAGGAAAGGCCAGGCCAACCACTCTCCATGAGTGCTCTCCTCCTCTGAGGGGGAAATGGGGCTTTATAGGGCAGTGCTGTGAATTCCTATTGTGATATTGGCTTTTTCGCAAGTATTAAGATGAATGTTTTATGTTAATGCTTTTGCTATGTCTTTTGTTTTTCTCCTGCTAGTGAGGTTTAAGCATAGGTCAAGAAGAATTTTGAATGTTAGGGCTATGTCCCTCTGTACAAAGCAAGATAGCCCCAAAGGACAAGACAATGGGGCCCAGGCTGTTATCAGCACTGACCGCTTGCAGAGGAAGGAACCCCAGCCCAAATAAAATGGTGATCAGAAGAAATCAAACTTCTATGGCACGTGCTCTAAAAAGGTGAAACCAGGGAGTGGTCATGCAAAATACTTCTTGGAAAAGTTTGAATATGCATTGAACCCCCACAGCAGGATGGGATAAAAGGTGCGTTCCAAAGATACCAGGTGTGCTCTTGGCAACGCACCAAGGCACCCGGCCATTACTCTTTGCTTTATTTTCTGTCTCTTGTTGTCTTTATTAAACCTTTTAAAATTTAACAGGAGAACGAATCTCGTTTTTTACAGCGGACACAGCTAACCAGCACAACCTCGGACAGCAAAATTGACAGGCCCCTTCGTTAGCGTGAAGCCATTTTCAGCCGCAGCAAGAGCCGGCCCGGCAGCACCGCTTCAGGTTGAAGCGGAGCAGAGCAGGCAGCTGGAGAGATGGTCTACCTCATTTCTCCACTGCAAGCACGGCAGGGCTGTTTGTTTATTTGTTTCAACCTCCCTGAAGCATAAAAAACCTTCAGCATAAGCATAGCAGACCCTGAGCCAAAGCTTAATCACAGCTCTTGTGCTGTCAGCTGGCCCTTATTGAGCTGGCCCAGCCTTCAGGGACACACAGCTGAAGCAGACAGACTGCCTGAAGCTTTCAAAACCAGCTGCTCTCTACTTTGCATGGCACTGAAAACATACAGATCAAAGCAGCAGTTACCAACCCTGGAACTCTGGTGTGAAAACTAAGGCAGGGAAATAGTTCCCTGAATATTACTTAGGATCAGACTGTAGCTTTTTAATCAGAATCCCCATGACTTCTCTGTTGTAACCACAGGATATCTCTGCCCCTCGAGACCTTGCTTTCCCTTCTACTTTATAGCCTATTTTATTTCACAGCTGATCCTGTTGCTAAGCTATGCACATTAAAAAAAAATAAAAAAGGATCCCCTACATATATCTTTTCCACACAAAATGACTGAAAATTTTTAGTTAAGGACTGGAGACTTTCCTTTTCACACGATTTTTTTCCAGAATTGAATTAAAGAACAATCAGCAGTGGAGGCAATGAGGAAGACCTCCATAAGTAAGGGTCAGTAAGTAAAGGCAGTAATCCATTATTTTGGTAAAACAGCAGCAGGAATAATGTGTATGACTGCAGGATTAATTATCCCTGTGCTCTCATGGTGCGACTTCAGGGAGAATGAGACTACCTGGTCTCTTTAAATTGCTGTAAATTCATTCCTGTAAACGCCAAATGCGCAGACAAACTGGGTCAGACTGGTTTTCTTCAGACTCTCCAAAACAACCTCTTATCCTGAGGTGCTCTCCCTCGGAAAAATGCTGTCAAAATTCAATGTCTCTTTAGTTATTCCTGCATGCAGAAGATGGGGGACCCAGCCCTAACAGCACATGGGTGGCTTCATCTCCAGCAAGGCACCCCGCAATGCAGCAGAAGCCACCAGCAGATTTCACGTACACATGTATACAAATTCTCCTGTCTCATGGCATGTTTGGCACTAAAACTGTCACCTTACTCAGTACTGAATGCCTGTGAATTCAAAATGAGCTCCTTCGTGCCTGTGTAGCTCTAATCAAAGATGTTATCACTCAGGACTTGTGGGAACATCTGTGTTATTCATAAATTATGAACTAGACTTCTTTAAGCCGTGGTAATTACTACAGGTATGCAGCACTATGCAGAAATGTGATGCTTACACAGCCATGCTTCACTAAAATGTCAATATTATAAAGCCTGTAACTGATTAGATTATTCTGGATGGGAACTTTAGCACATATAAAACAAGGCAGCTCTTTTTGATGCTGACAGAGGCAGCACAATTTACCAACTCTAAATTTTTCTGCTGCTTTCTTGTCCTCTGTTGCATCCATTACAGAGCATGACTACCTGCACATCTTATGAAGACTATCCTAGAAAATAGTCTTGCAATGCAGTTCACTTTCATTCACAACTCTCTAAAAGTATTTAAAGACAGGGGAAATATTTTGGAAATGTGTTACATCATTATGGCCCAAACAAATCAAACAAATAAAAACTGTTGCAGAAGATAGAAATAATATTTTAATTAGAAATTAATACCTACAGCAACCTTTTCCCCACCCCGTATTTTTTCAAACTCCTTTGTACTGCTATTACAAAGAAGGTAGAAACCCACTGACTCTGAATGACACAGATATGTACACAGAACTGATAGCCTGGGAAATAAAAAAGGCTTCAATTGGAACTGAAAGGCAGTAACACAATTTATTTTAAATTGCTTTAAGCTTAATTTAGAAACTGTTTCATTTCAGTCAGTTACAGATGCAAGCCTAACTTGTAAATTACAGCCAAAATTACTGTGACCACAAATATAACAGCGACTGCTGCAAACTAAGATTTTTACATTTGTTTGAGATGCTATCTCATTCCAGTTCCCGCTGACATTTAAATACTCCCATAAATCAGTGTGCATAGAGACAGAGAAGATTAGGGGAGTTGCTGTTTATTTACTGTTGTTTGATGAGGGAAGGAGAACCAACACTGTCTATTTTGTCTCTTGGTAGTTGTGGTTCACAGCCCTCACAGAACAACCCAAATTACAGCCATGGCAGACCCTGTGTATCTCAGAGGGAAGGATGTACCTTTCAGGGATCCTGTTGGTCCAGGGGTATCTATCTGCCCTCTTAATGCTGTTTGTTCCTGTAGGACAAGAGGCCTGCATATGTCCAAGTTTCATATTTACATTATAATTATTACTGCATAACGAGTAATAATTAGCACTCTCCATCAAAGATACAGTTAAACAAACCCTTAGTTCATAAGGGTTCATAAAAACAAAACCAAATAATTTATTGTGTTCATCTAACATCAGTATCCCAGCTCCAGCTAGTTCAGGAGGTGTTCCAGAGTTAAAAGTGAATTCTGCTGGGGACAATCCAGCGTGCAGCCTTGTCTGGTGGGATGTTCCTTTCATAAATCTGACCTCTTGGTCTACATTCCTTTATTTCACCTTTTTGGATGTGATAAGGGAATTCAAACAGAGAAGCAAAGATCCTCCATGGATTTTGTATGTAAACTGTGAGGTTTTAAGCCACTTTTAAGAACTTCTGTACTTAGACTCAAACCATAGCAGAAGAGTAAAAGACTTCTGGAGGTCATCTGCATTTCAGCATGGAAGGCGAGCCAAGTTCAGAAACACAAATTTAGGCCTAACTATCCAGGGCAAACACGGAGCAATTCTTATCCTGTTTCCTATGGAGGTACTTGAAACATCTTGCTGTTTCCTATGGAGGTACTTGAAACATCTTGATGGCAAATTATGACCAAATCTGACTGAAGAATATTGATTGCAAAGGTGATTAGTCTCTCCTACCAACTCTGTAAAACCAGGCAGCCAATGGGAGCTATCTTGATATTAAATTCCTCCCCCCCACAAAAAAAGCACCAAGAATGTTAATTTTTCTTTTCAAAAAGTAATATGCAATAATTTCATGAAAACAGAGGGGTTTACATCTCATAAAATTAACAAGAAAACCAAACTACAAACCGCACTGCGAAGACACCAGGTCATTTTTGACTCAGAAGGCAGAGCACAATGTACTGAGCCACCAGTGCTTCCAGTCTGCTGCCAAGTCCTCCCATCAAAAAACCTTACAGTTCTGGGAATGTATTAATGAAGTCACTGTCAGAGTTGTGTGACTTGACACTATGAAGAACCAACTTCCTTGCCAGCATAATTCTCTTGATTTCAGGAGAGGTACTGCAGGAGAGAATTCAGATCATAATTCATAGTGCTGTCATGGAGTCCAATATTTTTATTGAAAAAAACAACCTGAAAAAATATTCATTGTATTTGGCTCTGCATGCCTAGTGAAAACAGATAAAAATCACATTCTGTATTAGCACCAGTGCTTTTGGCTGCAGGCCATGACATGATCTTTTTAAAAATAAACTGACCACCAAAAGACATTTTGGGCATGAATATGTTAAAACACAAGATTCTAGAGTAATTACTATGGTTACCAGAGTAGAAATAGAACATGAATTTAAAAATCAATTCAGGGATGAATGCGCTCCCCATTAGATACAACCTACCAAGGATACTTGCATTCTTGCATTGCCTAGTGGAAGCCCAGTACTGTAATCCCCTGAATCATGATTGACATTGTGAGATTCTCAGTAAGTCATCTTCACCATCATGACACTAGCTGTCAGCTTCCTTAAAATGTCAGTTTTGTGTTCATTGAAGGAAGAAGGTTCTTTTTAGTCATAGTAAAAAATCTGGAGGCGTAACTTACCTTTGGATGCCTAAATTTAAATTTCAGAGTCATTGCCATCTTTTTTGGCAGAGGTCTGGCAAAGGATAAAAAGAAAGTTCTGAAAGAAGTCTCTGAAGGCCTCTACAGTTCAGCTTCCTTGACATTTGGGAAAGAAGATGGACAGGAGGAGCCTTCAGACCTCGATGAGCCATGTGGACAGGAGGATCTGTGTCACACCGTTCCTTGCAGTGTGCTCCCACCACTCAGAATCTCCCTGGCCAGATGCCACCCCTGCTGCCAAGGGGATGAGGAACAGCTGTTGAAGGACTGTGATGTGACAAAGCAACCAAATGCTTCATCCCACCTTTTGGGCCCAGATGGCACATGGGTGAAGGCAGGGTTCAGATCCACCACCATCTCATACACATCTGGAAACAAGAGCCTACTTCTTGCAGCTGCAGCAGCTGGATCACCCTGGTCCAGCATAGCACAGCTGCTTCTGTGTGTGCCACACATGAACTGGGTGAGAGCAACCAGGAGATCAGTAGTTTGCTTTTCTTCTTTTCACCTTATTAAAAATCTGGACAGTTGAAACCCACTACTAGTGAGAGGAGTCTTTAATCAAACAGGGGTCCATTGCATAAGAGCTTGATGTTACAACAAAAGATGCACAAACCAGTGAACCATCCAACAATTTGGTTTTGTGATTTTCCACCACTGCCTACACAAACAGAGCTAAAGGTTTGTGACAGCTGCTTGTGTTTCAATTATCTCTTTCAGAATCTCAAAGTTCAAAACCACATTCTAGAGAAGCAGCTTGGAGAAGGAAAGTATTTCCAGCGGCCCATCTACAGAAGAGTCCCCATTTTATTATTAATTACTGATACTGCCATAGAACCTAATTGTCCTAGCCAAGAATAGAGGCTCACTGTGTTCATTCAGAACAAACAGGAGGGCAAGGGCAGGCCTTGCCCCAAGGACCTCGCCCTCTACAAACTCCTGGTCCAAGCTCCACATTAACC